TTCTCAACTGCATGTAATATGATTTTAGGTTTATTCTAATTTACTTGTTATCGCTTCAAAACTTGCCTTGGTCTGCAGTTCTCGAAACACGTGGCGGTGAAGAAGAAAATGCACGCCGCTGTGGGACCGATGGCAACACTGGGCTGGAAACGCGAAATGGCGCTTTTCTGGATAAGGCTCGGGATCTAGCTCGAGTTGCAGAACCATCTTGCAGCAGCGGACCATTTCGCATCCACTCAAGCTTCTCCATTAAAACTCGTATATGCGAACCAAGGTCTATCTTTATCTGCATAGACGTTCACTAAATTTTAGCCATTTAACAGGCCTGAGTTCGAGACGGTGCTGTGACGACACTCTGTGAAACAGTTCGAAGCACAAACGGGCAATTCATTATCCGAATGAACTTCAAAGCATATGAGTAGTATGTCAAAACCCAAAAAAGACCACTCCCTGTTCTCCCAGTGCTTCAACTTTCACATAACTCTGCACTTAAATATGATCCGACAAACAATGCGCTCAGCTGCCAATACAACGAAACGTAACTCGACACTATCAGTGCATCTGGCAGCCTCTGGTTGCTCCTAGCCACTGCATCCTTTTCCTCTTCCTCCGCAAAATAATGCTGCTTCGTCTCTCTGGCGGTTTCGTCCTGAATTCCAGCAACAAAACGAAATAATATCAAAGCTTACCAAAGTTGATGCAGAAAATCCTGGCCCAACAAACAGAAAATCGCGACAAATGATAAATGGCGGAATAACAAGCTCGTCGAGTGGTACTTCACAGCCGCCCATCTTTTTAATCTGCAATCTCGCTTATGTTCGATACGAAACACGAGAAGAGTATAAAACACAAATTATGCTTGAAAATAGCAGCCAAGATGAACGGACGCTGAACCGCTGTTGCATTGCCAGAACGCAAGTAATGAACAGGATCATGCTGCGCAACCAAAATCTTTGTCGCCAAAAAAAAAAAAATACCAACAAAAAGCTTGGAAGGAGGCAAGTGCATGCCACTGTTTATTTACTATAAAATAAAAAATACAGTGGTGAAAGTGTGTTCAAATCGAACGTAATCTTCAAAATTACAAACATTTTACGACCCAGTTACGCAACGGTACTTCTGTGACTAACTAGACTCGCAGCGGTCTTTTTGCGTTCAGCTGGTTACTCCGAAACCTCACTTACTTGCAAGACTCAAGCAGAGTGCAAATAACTGATTTCAGAAGCTAAATCACAACTGCCATATCCTTCCAAGCCTGCTTCAGTCCAGCTGAATCACCATAATTTTCTTGATTAAAGCAACCCGGCATAATTAGACAGTTACAAGTTTCTTACAACTGCCAGTTTCTTCACTTATTTTTCAGATTGCCGAAATTGCTCTCGGAATTCAATTAGTTGCACGCAGCACAACACAGCTCTAACGGCCGAAATGAAAGAAGAGGGTTAAGTGCAACATAATGTGGACAAGCGAAGAAAGAGGAAAAATGCAGACAGTTCAAAGAAACAACGAAAAATGCGGAAATTCCGGCGGAACTATTCTGAATTTGGAAATTAATCAAAAGGCATTCTTGCATTTATTTTTATTAGATTTCAGAGTGTGCAACGGGAATTAAAAGTTTCCGAGAGTTCCCCAGACAAAAGCATATCAGCATGTACACACACACGCACACACACACACACACACATTCACTCATATCTACATACATACAAGTACACATCTATACTATGGAGTCGGAGTTATAGTTCCTAAAAGCAATAAGAGTAAAATTAAGAAAGATTACAAAATTTTGAAAACTGAGCTCACTGTGAACTTTCCCAACGAGTTTAATTTTGCATAAATTCCCAGAAGTAACGGCGTTCGCTTCCATAAATTCACCAGCTCCGGGATCATCTTGATACGTAGCACACGTTTGTGGCGAAAATTAATAACATTTCCATTGAAACTTTTTGCATTAATTCGCACACGCGCTTTTAACGAGGTCGACGCAGCATCTAACGCTGGGAACTGGTATTCCAAAACAAATCTGAAAATGAATTACCGTACAAAGCCGAAGACAAAAAGTTTAGCCAGATAAAATCCGCTGCTAAATGCGGGACTGGAATTTGCCGCGTATCAAGAATTAGAGTGAAAAAAGTATTGGAACTATGAGTGAGTGAGTAGCTCAGAAAAAAGAGGAATTACCTAAAACAACGAAAAATTTGTGTTCACGAAAGCTCTATTGTATTTGTGAGTGTAACGGACTGACCTTTAAAAAAATGAACATACAGTACAACTATTACTCTGACAATGAAAAAAAAGAGCATTCCTGCTACCTGAAACTCGATTTACCGCCTTTCGAGGCAGACCCCTTCCCACACTCTACTCCTTCCTTTCTTCGGACAGTTTCTCGCCTCCCCTCTGCACACCTTTCCCTTTTCTTAGG